CCAGTGCCACCCCATTGTCCCCTCGTCCCCTCCTTGTCTCTCCCAATGCCACCCTCTCCCTGTCCCCTCCTTGTCCCCTGAGTGTCCCGGTGTCCCCGCAGTGTCCCCGACTGGCACGTGGTGGAGGTGACATCGGTTGGAGACAAGGGGCGGTGCCTGAGTGTCACCAGCGTCCGCCGGAACCCGGCAGGACCCTGTGCTGTCACCGGCAGTGCCACCCTGGGCTCCTTCTGGAGCTCCCTGCAGGGTGGGTGCCACCGTCCCCAATGTCCCCTCGGTGTCCCCAGTGTCCCTAATCCTCCTAATGTCCTCAGTCACCCCAATGTCCCCAATCTCCACTAATGTCCCCAATGTCACTCTCTGTCCCCACCCCAGCCTGCACCGGACACGGTGGGTGTGTCCGTCTCTGCTGAGCCCCCAGGACCGTGACGAGCCAGGACCCCCCAAGGACCCCCCGAAAACCCCCAGGCGACCCCCTGGGACCCTTTGGGGACAATTTGGGGACCTTTTGGCAACATTAAAACCTCCCTCAAACCCCACAATGACGCCACCCTTCTTGTCATGGGACAGAAGCAGCTTCCTCGGCCTCTGATTGGTGGAGACGCCAGGGGTTACTCAGGGGGCTGAGGGGGAACTGGGGGGTCCCAGAGGGTCTTGGGTGGTCTGGGGGAGGGGAGGGAGGGGGGTGTCAGAGATCCGGGGTGGGCAGTGGAGGGTCAGAGGTGACAGATCAACCCCGGGGGGGGGGGGAGGCCACCCCCCATCACTGAGGGACCCCAAATAGCCCCTGGGATCCCCTCCCCCCTTCCTGCTTGAGACCTTCCCAGGAGCCTCCACTACCCTCCCCCTCAAAGATCCCCCCCCCCAGTGACCCCTTGGACCCCCCCAAGAGACCGCCCGCAGTGTGCCCTGGAACCACCCGAGACCCCTCCAATGACTCCTGGGCCCCCCCAGTGCCCCTGGGACACCCCCCAGTTATCACTGGGAACTTCCTGAGACACCCCCACCCCCACAAGTGACCTTTGACCCCATTGTCCAGTTGTCAATAAAGGGTCAAATCAGCAACGGAACCGACTCCAGTGTGACCAGTATGGGAACTGGAAGGACACTGGGAGGGGACTGAGGGCACTGGGAGTGACACTGGGAGGGGACCGGGAGTGAGATATTTTATGAATTCATTTTGATTTTATTTTTAATGGGAGCACTGCGGACGAGACTGGGCTGGGATTGAGGGCACTTGGTAAGGACGAAGGGCACTGGGGAAGACCGGGGATGGGACTGGGAGCACTGGGTTGCAGTGGGTCTCTGCCTGAGGAGGGATTGAGGGCACATGGGAGGCAGTGGGATGGGAACTTTTGAGGGACTGGGATGCAGGGGGATGGAATTGGGTCAGGGTTCTTGTTTAAGGAAGAAAAGACCCTCAGCCCCTCCACCCAAGTGTGCCCCACTGACCACATGACAACAGAAAACTCCATTTAATTGTAAGGTGTCCCCCCACACTCCGGGGGGAAGGGACCTCCCTGCCAAACCGGGGCTTTTCAGGGTCACTCTGAGCCGTGTCTTTGTCCCCTATGGTGTCTTCTGTTTATCTGTGCTTTACATCCAGTCCCTCTGACGCTGCAAAGAGATGAGTTAGCAAAGTCAGCCTTAGAGACAGGGGGACCTTAGCTGCTGCACAATTGTCACTTCTCTTTTGACAAACCCTCTGGGGTCCAAAGACAACCTGCACAAACCAACACTGACCTAACTTTAAGGCCCTGCCTTACCGCTCCCATCGGCTCTGGAAAAGCCTGCCCTTGTCACTGCACACACACTGCAGGCAGGGGCTGCCTCCGGGAGGACCGGAGAACTGCTGCCCTGAGTGGCTGAGCCTATCCACAGGGTAACTGGAAAGTCTCCTTTCTACTCCACCTACCCCCAAGTCTACACTGCAGGGCAGAGCAGTTCCAGGCTGAACACAAACTCCAAGGACACATTTCCAGACGAGTGCTGTGGTGCAACCAGGAGAGAGAACTCTGAGAAAGGAACGACGCCAAAACGGACGTGCTGCCGCACGAGAAGACGGAGGATACGGCGAGATTGAACGCAGGAGGCTCTGAGGAGCCTGAAAAGACACTCTAACAGAATGGCCTGGGACAAGAACTGCCTACAAAATTGCTAAGATGGATGGAAGACAATGCTCTGTTCAGAATCTTCTTAGATTCTCACAAGTCCCGGGCGGTTACAAGGGATGACTGCACGGCACAGCCACCGATACAACCTGTAAGGAGGCTGTAAAAGACACCTGACCTGACACTTCTCAGATGCGATTCCGATGCACGTCCAAGCTAGTGAGCCAAAGAACGGATGATATGGGCACTGGGCTGAGCAGTGCAAAGGTTCAAGACCCTAGGAATGATGCCTTGACACGTCTGATAAGACTTTTGAGGGCAGAAAGCAAAGACACGGTGACTGTGAATTGTAAGACAAGAGACACAGAGTGGACAAAGGACACGACACAGACCTGAACGGCTCTGCCCTGCACACCCTACCCCATGATGAAAAGTAAACTGCTCCTCCTATGTGTGCCAAGGGCCTGTTGGGGCAGACCCTTTCCCCTCTACTCATTTGAAAATCCCTCCCTCCTAACCATAACATTAGACCCAGCTCTCATCCCCTCTCCAGGTGCTAGTCCTCCACTTATCTTTCCCACAGCTGGGGATGTGAATCCATCTTCGACGCCAAGGAAGGACGCCCGGCTGGCTCACAGGGTCCTGTGATCCCTGACTCGGTCGGCTGCGAGAAAGAAAACAGAAACTGACACGAGAGTTGGGCAGCACCTGGGAGATAACCCCGCAATTGGCTACTCACCCTCCCCTGAGCTGAGAGGTTCTCGGGCCACTGGCTCCGACCCCAGTCGGAGGCTGCTGCCGTCACCGTGTGAGTACCTGGGGGAGTGCGAAAAAAAGTTACGGGGTGTTCCTGAAAGTAAGGGAGACCCCAGCACCTCCTCACTACCTCCCAGACTCAACCTCAATGCTCCTCCTTTGCCAAAGGCAGGACGGATGGCACCTGCAACTGGAAGAGGTCCAGCCTTAATTGATGACACTTGTAGTACTAGGAGATGACTCACAAGGACACCTGAAGACCATCAAACCTAATTGGCAGGTGGCTCCGGCCCTCTGAGGCTGCACACATTCTACTGCAAAGTAAAAAAGCCCAAGGCAAATGTACAGACTGAGATACTGCCTGAAAGGATGGCTTTCCTGTGGGAGCTCCTCACCTCGCTCATCTCCCTGCTGAGCCGCTACCCCTCGAGACCGACTGGGCCCATCTGGAAAATAAAAAACAAAAAGGCACAAGATAAAGGACTCCTGTGGTTAAAACTGACATCCTTCATCCAACCCCTAATACAACCTTCTTCCCAGGCTGCTTCAACTGGTCTTGGTCTGGGGTACACTGTGTCCACTTATCTGAAAAAAAACAACAAAAAAACAAAAAACAAAGGGTTAGTTAGGTCACCCACATGGTCACTGAGATCTTAACCACTTAACTCATTTCCACAGAGCGAGTGAGAACTCTGACCGCAGTCTACAAGAATACAAATGACAACCCAGCTGCGAGGCCCTGCCCTCCAAGTACCATCAGCTCCACAACACTCGGCTATAATGATGGCACACCAGTTATGTACACCCGCTCCATCCGGCAGGACCGTACAGCCATCGGCTCCACTGCCTGAGGTAACTGACATGTTGATGGGAGACTCTGAGCAATATTCTATCTACCCACTGATCCACGGAGCAGGGCAGAGCAGTTCCAGGCTGACCCCAAGTGAGACACCCCGCACCAGTGACGACACACACCATGTGACACAATTAAGAGAAGAAGGACACAAAATATGGATCAGACAGAGGACGTGACACAGACCAGAACGGCTCTGCCCTGCACACGTGAATCCAGGGATACAAAGTAAGCCCTTCCTTCGATGTGTCCAAATAACCTGTTACAAAATACCCA